CAGGCTGGGTGTCACAGCCCTTCTAGATTTTGGTCTGGATACAATCACCCTGACTGTCTTACCTCTGACCTTTTCTTTTCTATCACCTAATGTGGGTTGGGAAAAGGAGTAGCAAGGAGGACCCCAAGGTGTCTAGAATCACATAAAAGCAAAATTGTAATGACCTCTTTGGCTCCTTTTTTTCCCCTTCTTTGAAACTATCATTAGACATTAAGTTCATGGATTTCTATCACCCTAGCGGGGTTTTAATAGACACTTAAGGTATTCAGTCCCTTGTTATCCTAACTCATTTTATTAATTACATTTCATAATCATGTAGGGTTAGGAGGCAGAGGAGGAACCAGCATCCAATTTCAGGGAACAGTGGTGATCTCGAGATTGTCAAGGTGAGGATAAAAAATCAATTCAGCAGTCAGCTGTGATGCACGAATGGCTCCCAGGACAGTGTCAGGGTGAGCCAAGTATAGGAGCAAACATACTATGACACAACTCTATCTCTCCATGTGGGGCAGTGTGTGGTGGGATTCCTACAGTGACCGGCTCAGCGCCACTGTGGGTAGGGAGAAGTCTCTGGGGACAGCCAGCAAAACACAGAGACTTTCCAGACCATTCGGAACTAGAATATAGATTTCAGTATTCTAAAAGTTGGTTTGTCAAGTGTTATAAGACTTGGGTGAATAACAAAGGAACTCCTTGAGGACTCTCGCAAAGAAGAGCAAGACCTCTTTTATTTGGCAGCTTCCACTATTAGAGAACATCGGTGAGATAAGTGACCAAAAGGGTCTCTGAGCAGAGTCTACGACGAAATAAACTCTTTACCTCAAGGCTTGTCATCTTTCCCTGTGACTTGCTTTAGCCAATAAAATGAAGCAGAAGTGCCTGAGTGCCAGTTTCAAGCCTCAAGAGGCTTGACACATTTCTGCTCTGTCTCTTGAAATCCTGCTCTCTTTATGTGAACAAGGTCGAAGTAGTCTGCTGAAGGTGAGAAACCATGTGAGGGCAGCTAGCTGTCCCAGTGGAGGTCATCCTAAACCAGCTGAAGCCAAACATGTGAGAGAGACCAGCCAAGATTAACAAGCTGCTTACTCAACCCTCAGCTCCACACAGACACCAGGGGAAGCCCAAGAGAGCCAGCTGGCACACAGACACGTGAGCAGCAGTAAACACCTGTTGTCTGAAGCCACTACGTTTTGAGGTGGTTTGTTACTCAGCAATAGCTAACTGATATACCTAGTATGCTACGGATTGGAAATAGTGGTTGGTGAGGGAAGAGGAAGGGCTACTAGAGACAAGGATGTTGACAGGAACAAGAAAACAAAACAATAACTAAAAAGCAGAGACTCGAATAACGTAACGGTCTGGGGTAGTTTTGGGAAAGGGAAGCAGTTTGTGGCACTTTATAAGACCCTGACCACTGACAGAATTTTAAAGTACAGTATAAGAACACTGACCCCGAGTCATCAAGAGAAATGAACTGAAATGTGTGTCCTTTTTTAAGAAGGCAAGCTCATGAGCTAGATTTAAGACAGATTTTCATTTAAAATAGTTAAAATAAAAAGCTTACGGTGGTATTATTTATCTGGAGAATTCATTTGAATGAGCAGGGACCATACTTCCTGAAGCAAAAATTGGGTAACATCTCAGATGAGCTTTTTACTATTTCCAGGTGTAAAAGGAAATGTAGTTTGGTTGCCATGATGTTGGCATTTTGGGAACATTTAACCACTCATGGGGACGATAGAATAGAATAGTTGTAACTGGGATGACCTGAGAAAATCTATACAGAAGAGCCAGGCTCCTCATGTACGGCCCCTCCCTCCTCAAAGGCACCAGATTATTAGTGTCATAGGAGGCAGCCAAGGGGGACACACATCTTGTGGACAGCAGGACCAGTGTTAGGCAGCAGGCAGGGCTCTCTGTTCATGAGATTGAGAAGGGGGGGCGATGGGCGGGGGAAGAACTGCATTAGCACAAAGCTGCCGCCTGCAAGGCCAGCCTCCTCCTTGGCCTGTGCCTTGGTCCTCAGAGCACCCTACACCCTGTTCATTCCATCTCATGTATTTGAATTCTGTTCCTTTCCAAAGCACCATTAAGCACCTCACTAGAAGATAATAATTGTTCACATTCACGGCATGTATAGTAAGTGCCAAGGAATGGACCAGCTCATGCCTGAATTAACTCATTAACCCTGTAAATTAACTGTTACTTTCCCTGTAAAGATGAGGCACAGAGGCACAGAGAGATAAAGCTACTTGCCTAAGGTCACACAGGAAATGGCAGAGGCAGGACCCAAACCCCTATGGCTGGCTCCACACCCACGCCTTAAATTGTTTTGTTCTGCTCCTTTAGTTCTTGAAGTTTCCTTATTCCCTTCCCCGCTGGACCTGGCTGCCCCCTTTGACCCAATCCCGACTCTTGCCTTTTCAGAGGTTGGATCTGTAAGATCATCAGCCCTCCCACCACTCTCCAGTGTCAATTCTCAGGAACTAAGTGAAAAACAGGATGGACCTGCTCTCAGGGGGATGAGGTCCTTTGCCTGATGGCTTCTGGCTAATTACCTCGGCTCACCTGGAGCAGGCCCAGGGAAACCAGACCCGGCATAGGGATGCATATGCCCACCTGAGATGGCTCAGCTTTCACCCCAGGTGAGCACAGCAATCACACCCAAGGCCAGCTGCCGGTGCCACCGCCCTGTTCTCCACCCCCACAGAGCCACAGACAGACCAGGGCTCCAGGCCGCTTTATCTACTGCACACACCCGGCCCTTCTCCCTCCTCCTCTCTATCTGGGAGTTTCCTTGTGGCTCTAATGAGAAACCCCTGTGTCACATTGAAAAGTTGCCAGATATTGCTGCTGGGAATAAAATCAAATCTCCTCCGAGCGGAGACGCAGGGAAGCTTCAAACTGGGGAGTGAGGAGTGGCTGGTTGGAATAGTGTCTTCAGTGTGGCAGCCTCTCAAGCGTAATGAGATGGCACCAGGTGGGGCCCCTCCCTGACCGCTGGAAAACAAACAAACAGTGGGCCCTGCCAGCCTCCCCTCCCCCACCTCAGCTGTTTCTCTTTCCCCCTCAGCACACCTTCCCAGTGTGGGCCTCCCTCATGCTGACTGGTTCAGGCTCTTTCCTCACACCTCAAGGATAAGATAAAGCTGGGTGAACCTTCTAATGAGAGCTCTCAGGTCTATCTGAGTGACGGACAGTGGCTTCACCAAATCCTCAGAGACCCGGGCAATCCACTTGCACATTATTCAAAATGCAGTTTCTTCAGATCTACCTGAAACCACTGAATCTGAATCCCCAGAGCTAGAGTTTGGGGATCTCTATTCCTCAGCTCCCTTCCCTACCTGGACCATCGTGCTTAAAACCACCGGACCTGAGCAACTAGCCCCAAGGAATGATGGTCCCACATATACTCTCCTGGGATTGCAAACACTGAAGCGCCCTTTGAAGGCCAGGCATTGCTAGCACGGACCCTCACAGCATAGCAGGATGGCCATTCCTGTCCCTTTTTCACAGAGAAGCTTCTAGTTCTTCACAGGCTATGACACCAGTGGAGTCAAGGTCATCCCAGCTATGTCACACAAAGGCACTCTTCTGGGACAAAAGCAACCACAGCAAGATTTAAAAAGGAATGTTATAGACTGGTACTGTGGAAGCCCCACGTTATGGCAGTGGGGTGAGGTGGCTCCACAGCCTACAGAGTTAGCTGAAACTGTGACTCCAGAGCAATTGGTGTCTAGGTGTACGCTGAGCCCCAGCCACGGCCACCTTCTGAAGCAGGTACATCAGAGAGTACCGGTGAATCTCAGTGGGGTTGATTCTCTGCTCTTCTCCACAGGGGACATTTGGCAATGAATGCAGACATTTTTGGTTGTCACAACTGTGAGGTGGAGTTTTGGCATCTAACAGATAAAGGTCAGGGATGCTGCCAAATCCTATAATGCACAGAACAGCCTCCTGCAACAAAGAAGTATTCCATCTAGTATATCAGTAGTTACATTATTGAGAAATCCTGGAATAGCTACGCCATCTAAGACAAGAGCCCAGATCCAGAGACGTCCTTGGTCACCTGAAGGCAGAGCATTAATTCAGGTTTTGGGTGTGGGAGTAAGGTTTTCTTAGCTTCCACTTGTTATTTATCTAGAAGGAAGTTTCCAACAGAGAAAGGCTTACAGTCTAAACACACAGCCAGCCCCCTGTGGGAGCTGGGCTTACAGACCCACTTTACTCTGATAGTCAATAAATACTAAGACCCAACTGAAGCCCCTGATCCTTCAGATATTGGTCATCGCGTCAGCAGCAGCACATGGATGAGTAAAGGTTCAGTTTGGGGCTGCCCGATCAGATTTAATTCCATGTAGATTCCCCAGGTGGTCTCCCCTCCTCGCTGAGAGTTCAAAAACAGACCATTTAGTTGACAAAATTGAGTCTCCCATGAGTTAACGGAGTGGAACCAGCTACGGGTGCAGATTGTAGCACAAACGCTCCTGCAGAAGCCAGACTGGAGGTGCCAAATATTTTCTTTACAGTTGATTCAATGCAGTTCGGTGGTTGACGGTGTGTGGAGGCGGAACGCCTCCTGATGGTCCAGTCCCCTCCTGTTTGTGCGGCTAACAGCGCAAAGGGCACACAATTTCTTTCTCCCTATAAAGTGAATCTGGATGTTTTATAGCTGAAAAGGCAGCAATTTCATTTGAATTAATCGAGAGGCTGAAGGCAAAAGTGCATCATGTACCTTTTAAGGACATTTGACCTTGATTGACAGGGTACCGTGGCCACCTCCTGAAAAGCTTCAGCAACAGAACATTTCTTGACATCAGTCAGGGGAGGTCTGCTACTTAGCTGTACTCACACGGGCTCTGTGGTTTTTTTCATCTATCAGTTTTAGGAATGCCTACGGTCTGCCTCTTCGCGTGGTATACACTTGTTAGCCATACCCCGTAACACTTCTCCTTTGTTAAATTAGAAGAAAGTAGTAATTTTACTAAGTGGAAACATACCTTTCAGCCACTTTCGACATTTTTAAACAATGTCTGTCAATCTGTGCATTCAAAAATGTTATCTGGAGAAAGACAGAACAGAGGTGTTAAGACCAAACTAGAAGTTTTTATTTTCCTTTCACCCCAGGAATCCAAATCTAAAGATCTAAACTCTTCCTCTGCACAGGCTTCAACCCTCCAGCTTTGCACGCCAGCAACCACTTTGCCCTTTTGAAAATTCCTGCCACCGTTAAGATTCATTCACATTCTACAAGTTAGCCTATGTGTTACTGCTTAAGTCTTGATTTCCAAAAGAGATGGCAAACTTAAAGGCAGTATATATTCTTTAAAGCTTAACAACAGCATGGGCAGGTAATACATACACCATAAATGTCTGGTTTGACTAATCTCCCGTGATCATCCCCTGAACATCTGTCACACTCACATCACACTCATGTGCTTGATGTACTTGACTAAAATCATCTAACAGCTATTTTGCATACTTCTGTTTCCTCTTCACCACCCAATAATAAATAAGCTTGTCAAGAGCAGGGACCTACCAATTTACTTCTTTGGGTTCCTCTCATCCCCAGAAGCCAATAAAGTGTAATGTAAGGAGTAGACCTGAAGTTACTTCATTAACAGTGAGCCCCAGAAAAAAGTGATGTACTTAGCCATTGTCTGCTGACCTGGGTTGACCAATTAACTCCTCATCATAAAGATAACATTGAACCAAATAATGCTGAGATGGTATTGGGAGGGGGGCTTGCTTTATTTGTAAACTTTACTCTTGTATCATAGCAATAAAGTCAGTGGCGTGAGCGGGCTGACTCTGGAAGGGTATTACAATTTTAAGAAACCTCTCGCCCCAGCTTCTGTGGGAGACCTGCCTACAGCAGTCGCCCCACAGCACGGGGATAACTCATTAACATCCTTCTCTCATCACTGCTGGAGGAATTCAGTAGAGAATTTTCCCTCTCAAGCTTCCACGGGTTCAAGTCACCCACAGCTGGGTTCCACTATGGTTTCCAGGAACTCAAAGCTCCCTCAGCCTTCAGAGGTGAACATTCAAAGGGTTTTCAAACTGGCCACGGCTCCTCCTGGGAGCGCAGGAGTCCATTCACTCACCTGCTTCCGGACGTCCTCTTTTGTGGTTTTCCTGATTGGCTGACTGGGCATGTGCACAGGGCTTTGTGACTGGGACTCTTCTGTCACGCCATACACTGACTAGAGAAGAAGCAAGAAGATAGAATTATGCACCCTCAGAGTCGAAGGGGCCTTAGGGGCCAGCTATTTTGACCACTTATCTGATGCTTACAACCCTCTCAGTGACATCCCAGCAATAAATGATTAGCCTCTGCTTGACTTTCTCCAATGACAGCAACTCCGTCTCTTGAGGCAGCCTCCCCCCTCTGTGGGGTACCACTGTTAGAAAATCCTTACTGAGCTGAACCTGTCTTCTTGTATATCAGTGATTCTCCAAACGTGGTCCATCTGCAGGGAATCATCTGGGAGTACTTGGTAATGACGCACATTGCCGAGCCCTACCCGGGCCATCTGGTGCCCCCTCCTGGCACTCCTGAACCAACCTGGGTGGGGCTTGGGAATCTGCACTTGGATCCAAATGCCCATGTGATTCTGAACCACAAAAAAGGTTCAAGAACAATTGCTGAAGATTATGCACAAAGATTCCCTCTAGACTTTCTCTTGGCCAGCAGATGACATGCCCATCAGGTACAAAGTTGAGATGGCAGAGTTTCAGAGTTTTTGCTTTTAAGCTAAACAGTTTTCTGGCCTCAGTTTCTCTACATGCTCTCAGCTATGGCTACCTTTTAAGCTGTTCCTTGTGTTAGAGACAATCTTTGCTTTGGGAAAGAAACAAAACCTCAAAGGGTATACGATGCACAGCTGAAATCTATAAATCAAGAAGGGCTCAGATAGGGTGGATGTGGGCTCCACGAAAGTTTGGAATAAAATTCTAGCATAATTAGGTGGCCCTTAAATGAGGACGTTTTAAGATTAACATTATAAAATATAATACAATAGGCGTCATTATCTCAATGAAGAATAAAATATGTAAGTAGATTCAAGAAGTAGATGTATATGTCATGTCATATGTATGAGAAAATGAGAGGACTGGTCATCTGGGAACACATCTCCAACCTTTAGAAATGAACATTATGGAGGACAGACGTGTTCTCCCACAATATGGTCCCTGGTGCTGTTGCGAGATTGGGGTGTACTGACCGTGGCAGACTGAGTGTGGCGCCCTTGGATATGCCGCGTGCACTGCCCCTTCAGGGTAGTGAAACACAAGTGATCACTGGCTCATTCACAGTAGAGCAAGATGGTGATTTGAGTTTGGAGGACCCAGCTATACTAAAAGACTTTCAAAGCACCAAGCTCACCTTCCCCTGTGGGATTTCCATACTTCTTGTTCCTCTAGTTTCCTCTCCTCTCTGCTTCCTTTCCAGAGCCAACTGCCACGTACCCTTCAGACCTCAGCACCTAGAGCCTATTTTGGAAGCCCGTGGAAAGGCCCAGTCTAGCGCCCCCTCCAGGCACTCCTGAACCATCCCGTACTTTGTTAATACAGCCCTCCTGGCACTGTTTGTTGCCCGCAGGCTCGTTTCATCGCCACCAGGCTGTGGGCTTTGTGAGGACAGCATTTCAGCAGCAAGAAGAGTGCCAGGCACATATCAGCCACTCCACAAATATTTGCAGAATAAATGAATGAAATGGTTTCAAAGTATGAAATGGGGTAGAATTAACAAATAGCAAATTATTGTTTGAACAGTACTAGAAATGAAAGGGCCCTTCGGATCAAGAATTTTTAACTCAGCTAAACTAGCGAACCTTTTTAACCTTTTGCGGGTTCTTCAAACGTCGACATTTTCTGATATCCATTTCCGTGGTGTTCACACAGCCTGGCTGAGGAAAAAAAAAAAATCATCACATAAATTACTAAGTGAAAATCATCCTCCAATTTAGCCCCAGTGGGTTACCTGTCATTATCTTTCTCATTACAGATAATGCACGATTATCTCTATTTTGCCATTTATAATTTTTTTACAAAGATGTTTCATCTTCAGTATGTGTTCCTGTTTATATAAATATCCTGAAATATAAAAACTTACCTCATACTGTCTAAAGATGACACGTAGACGGTATTGTGTACAGTGGATAAAAGTAAACTTATTATTTGAAGTTGCAAGGTGGCATCAGTCACAGCCTTTGTTATTCTACGTACCTAACCATCTAAAAATACTCCAAAATCCGGATGGGGAATTACTTCTTTGTTTTTTCTTTTAATTGGTTTTTTAGGAAGGCTGAAATAGTTTATTCATTTTAGTTCCATTTCATGAAGGAAATGCGAGATTTGTTTTAATAACATGAAATTATAAGTAGAGTCAAACCTCACTATTCAGACTTCATATTTGTGAATTTGCCTAATTGCTAAAACTTATTTATAACCCCAAATCAATACTGTGATGCATTCGTGGTCATTCATGGACATGTGCAGAGCAGCAAAAATTGGGAATTGCCTGATGTGCATGTTCCCAGCTGAGGTCAGATAGGGCGACACTCTGCCTTCTTGTTTCAACTTTCATGCTGGAAACAAGTGTCCTTTTCCAGGTTTATCTAGTGCCACATTTTGCACATTTCTGTTTTTATTATTGTTGTTGTTGTTGGTGGTGATTATGTTCTTTAAAATGGCCCCCAAACATAGTGCCGAACTGCTGCCTGGTGTTCCTAAGTGCCAGAAGGCTGTGATGTTCCTTACAGAGAAAACACTGGCATTAGGTAAACTTTATTCCAGGATGAGCTATAGTGTCATTGGCCATGAGTTCAGTGGTAATGAATCAGTAATATACATTAAGGTGTCTTTAAACAGAGATGCCCATTAAACAAGTTTATGTATTAATCAGTTGATGAAATGGTTCCAATGCAGTGGTTCA